AAAAAAAAAAAAAAAAAAAATCCTCAGATGCTCAAGTCCCTCTTATAAAATGGTATAGTGATGCATAAAACCTATGCACATCCTCCCATATACTTTAAGTCATCTCTAGATTACTTAATACAATATAAATGCTATGTAGTTATTAAACTGTATTTTCATTTGTATTATTTTTATTGTTATATTATTTTTTATTGTCCCCCCTGAATATTTTTGATCCAAGGTTGGTTGAATCTGTGGATGTGTAACTCAAGGATAAGGAGGACCAACTGTAGTTGTCAGCCAGATGGACAGCCTGAGGAAGCTCAGGGTAATTTAATGCTGTGTTTATATATTCATTTGTTGGCATCTCCAAAACCAGTCACAAATAAAACATCCATGACCCTTCAGTAACAAATGTAATATCCACAATACAATTCTACAATAGATGGTTTTCTTTTTTTAAAAACTAGATTTCTATTACAAGTATCAGTCCAAATTCCAGGATGCTACCAGCACTGATTATACTGCAGGAATTAGGCACATTTAATTAAATATACTCAGAAGGTATGCAGCAGCTACTAAATCCTACTATAAATTTTTTTTCCTCTTTTTGATATAGGGTCTCACTCTATCACCCAGGCTGGAGTGCAGTGGCACAATCATAGCTCACTGCAGCCTGAAACTCCTGAGCTCAAGCGATCCTTCTGCCTCAGCCTCTAGGAGTAGCTAAGACTACAGGCATGCGCCACTGCACCCATCTAATTTTTATTTTTGTAGAGAGAGGGGCTCACTGTGTTGCCCAGGCTGGTCTCCAATTCTTGGCCTTAAGTGATCCTCCCGCCTCGGTATCCCAAATTGCTGGGATGAGCCACCACATCCAGCGCCTATTATAAATTCCTATGAAAAGCAAAACTACAGCAACATGAGAATCTTCCATATTTGTTTCCCAAAGTTGTCACATCAAATCACCTTGGATGCTTGTTGAAAATAGAAATTTCTGGCAACCACCTTAGACATACTAATTTAGAATACCATACCTATAGATTCTTTAACTTCGTAGAACTGTAACAGAAACACCTCATAATTTAACATATTTTAATAAAATCATTTCAAAAACCTGTTTTTAGACCATTTCCTTCCACTAATAAGATTATTAAATATTCCAGTAATACAGAGTTGAACACATCTATAATCCCAGGTTAAAAAGAGAAAAATAAAAATTCACAGATAACTCAGTCACAAATCAAAAATATGGAATTTTAAACACTTACAAAGTGTCTTGGCTATCAGATCTTTAGTTTCATGATTCACTGGTGGCTTGAACAGGGAATTTTAAGTTCCACAAATTAACATGAAGTACAACGGTATTTTCTAATCCATGCTTTATTAGCTCCTATTGCATTCTAAGACTTTCTCTGAAAGAAGTAAAATAAAATAATCCTAATAAAAATTGTGAAATTGCAAAAATTCACCCCACTCAGCTGAGAAATGCAACTGAGCAAGGTATCACTTTTAAACTCAGCAGACATTAGTATTCTAGTACAGACTATCCCTTTCCAATTAAAACATGCCTAATTGAAACACTTTGATTCAATCGTGTTAAGAGCTGCCCAAAAATATTTTCAGTCAGCAGTGGGCATTTGCAGATAATTCACAGAACAATGCCTCACTATCACCCTGCCCCTAAACCTGACTTTCACTATAATTAGGTTTCCCATATATGTGTATATAGCTTCTGTAAAACAAAGACATAAAATTTAGTTACTGTGTTCCACTTCTAGGCATATGCCAGAGAGCAATGAAAACACGTCTACACAAAAATCTGCACATGAATGTTCACAGAAGCATTATACATAACAACAAAAAAGTGGAAATAATTACACATTAACTGAATAGATTTTTAAAGTGTAGTATATCCATACGATGGAATATAATGTGCCATAAAAAAGGAATGAAATACAGATACATGCTACATCACGGATGAACTCTGAAAACATTACACTAAGAAGCCAGTTACAAAAGACCACATATTATATGATTCCAGTTATGTGAAATGTCCAGAATAGGTAAATTTTTACAGACAGAAAGTAGATCAGGGGTTGTGAGGCGGGTTATTTGGAGGGACTGGGAATGAAGAATGATTGCTGATGGGTATAGGGTTTCTTCTGGGGTGAGGAAAACTGTGGTAGTGGGGGCTACACAACCCTGTGAATATACTGAAAACCATTAAATTGTACAATTGGTGAGTTGTGTGGTATGCTAATTATATTTCAATAAAGCTGTTAAAAAATCAGCTACTCTGATTCTTTTTTGGTTCATAAGCCTGATGATTGAGTTTTCACACTAATGTGTGAGATGTGCCTCCCTCAAATCTTGTTACCTTATCATCGCATTACCATCCAACAAGAAAAACAGAAAAAAGTCAGTTACTCTAAAAATAGCCCTCCCATAATATATATTAAACAAGACCTCTTGTTGACCATTTATTTGGAGTAAGATATAAATCAAAATCATGTCTGAAAAATAATGATAAAAGCAGAATGGAACTACTAAGTAGTGTTTAAAACTGTCTTGAGCAAGATCTCATCTCAAAAAAAAAGACTTTGTATGTTTTGTATGTCTAAAATATATAAGAAAAATATATTTCAAAAATGACTTGCAAATAACCTGTCCTAAAAGCTTAGTGTGTATGACATTTGATAAATGTTGATTAAATGATACACTAGTGAACACACCTTTCCGTTTTTTACAAAACTGATCAGACTGAACCGTACACATCCTTCAACGGAATTCAACTACTGGTTACTCCTCCACATAAGAAAATGTGCCATTTTTAAAAAATACAGAATATTATCTGACCATTCAGAGTAAAAGGATTTTCAAAACCCTTAACTGCCTATTACCAAATGAAAATTTCATAATGGCTTCAAGTACCAGTAGTTCCCAACCTACACAATCACTTGCTTAATTTTCTGGGGGATTAAAAAAAAAAGTTTTCTGAAGGGCGTGGCAACTCATCCAAGGTCACGCCAAGTCAGGGCAGACGGCAACACGCTGGTTTAGGCCAAACCTCCAGAGGAAACCTTACCAACAATTTCGCAAAAAAAATTTTGTTTTACATCGTAAAGAAAAATGACGGGGGATGGAATGTCAGCTTGAACTAAAACTTCTAAACAGAAACGGTGAGACAGCTACTTTGGATAAACAAACACTTGTGCAGGGAGTGGCTAACACTCAACAAAGCTATCAGTCAACACCGTGTGAACAACTGCCCAGGTCTGTGCGATTTTCAACCCCAGGCTGGAGCCTCAACTCTAAGCCCAGCCCTCCCTCCTAGTCAGTTAAGGCAAGAAACCTGGGATCGCCTTAGAATGTTGAGAGGAAAAAAACAAAAGGAAAAAACGACTTAGTGTCAACTGGATTGCCTCCAAAGGTAAGAGGGTAGGTTTTTGTGGAGGAAAAAAAAAAAGTGTCAGCACAGCAGTGAATTAAGGCCGTGAAACTTAAGATTTCTAACAATCTGTGAGAAGAAACGACTAGACTGGCAAAGCTAATCTGTAATCATTCCAAGTGAATCGCATGAAACCCTTTTCCTCGACCAAAGAGAAGTCCACGTTCCCCAGTCTAGCCCTAAAAACGGGCCCGAGTTTTCCATGTGCAGCTATTTGTGGGGAAGAACGGCAGTGTGGAGCAAGAGCCGAGTTCCTACGCCGCAGGCAGCCCACACAGGGAGAAGCCCAGCGAAAGCGCCCCCGGTGCGACCACGCGGGACAAGTATAATGAAATGGACTCCTTAAACTTAGAGAAGCCTCGGGCGAAGGAGCGCCGGTACACACACACACACACACACACACACTCACTCACGCGTTGTAGGAACCCCTGGCGAGTCAGTGGCTCGATACAGTCTCTGGACACCTTTCTACCCAGGTGCAAACCGCCTCCTCACCCAGCTCTGTCTGCGCGGAGCCCCACTCCCCTCACCTGGCCCTGGCCCCTGCCCCAGAAGAGATGAAAGAGGCGGCGGCGGCAGTTGCTTCCAACCGGGTCCCCCAGCGGCGGTGGCTGCTTCGACCCGCAGCCCTAATCTACCGCCGCCGCCATGTTGGAGGGTGAGGTCACCCCCGGCGTGCCTCCGTCACGCCGGCGTCGGGGCGGGCCTGAGGCGCCGAGGAGCGCCGGAAGTGGGCGGCTCGAATATCCGGAGCGGAAGCACAGACCACAGAGTGCTGGAGGTCTCTTCGCGCAGACTTGACCTGAAGAGCCGATTCCTTTCTGCCCGCTCTTCCCGAGAGTCGCTCAAATCTATGATTCCTGGGATTGCGGAAGTTCCCTCTTCCTAAATCATTTCCTGAGAAAAGGAGGTGGGATACTGGCGAGCCAATCCCTGTGTGGGGAGAGAGGGTGGCGATTCCGCGAGGAGAAGCACTGCTGCATCCACGGAATGTGTTCATTTCTACGAACATGTATCGATGGTGTGCATGGAGCGGATCAAATAAGGGTCAAGAAAATCAATAGAGCTGCGGAGTCGCAGCCACTTGTCGGGGAAGATGGTCCCGGAAGGTTGGGAAGAAGTTCTAGGAGATGGGCTGGGATAGGGAGGTCGTTCTAGGCGGGGGACGCTGCCTGAACAGAGGCGCTGTGGCTACGAGGAACTCTTACTGTAGCATTCCGGTTTCGTTAACAGCATCTAGCACAATGTCTGGCATAAACGTAGTTTGTGCTAATGGATGTTTGTTTACCTGAATCCAAGAGTTCTTCAGAGCTACAGTCCACGGCCTGTTAGGGCCCGGGCCGCAGAGCTCTGTCGCGCTGCCTCCCCACCCCACCCCACCCTACCCCCGTGGATAATTGTCTTCCATGAAACTCAGGAACTGGGGTGAGGGTGGGGGCCGCCGGCCGGCGAGCGCAGGTTGAGCTTTGCCGCTGCCCATCGCTGGCATCGCAGCCTGACCTCCGCCTCTCCTCGTTTCCGCTCCTCCTGCCCCCGCCCTCCTGGAAAAATTGTCTTTCAGGAAACCGG